AAGGAGAGAGATAAAGAGACAGAAAGTGAGAAATCACCCCCCAGGGGGGATGGTCACGCTGCAATCCCTTCTCCTCCATTCTCCTCTCGGGATCTTGGGCACACACGTACAAGCACCCGGCATGAATTTTAAGCCACCAGGTCCAGACACAAACCGCAGTCGACTACGTGGGAGTCCAGCGACATAGCCGTTAAGCTAACTGCTGGTTTCCCGAGCAGGTCTCTTTTGAAAGCAGGTTGTGAGGATATTCTTGCTGCAAGTTGGGTGCACTCAAGTGAGGTGTCCCAGTGGTAAACAGCAGGACCCACATGCCAGCCTGAGGCATGCAGACTTTGGCCGTCTCCTCTGCTGGGCCAGTGACAGGCTTTGTGCTCATAGACCACTTGCTTTGTCCTTGCTCTGCAGTCACCATGCAGTGGCCATGCAGAGGTGTGCGGTTAGTCAACATGGGACCTGAGCAAAAAACACTGTAAAAGACTGCAGTGGAATTGTCTCTGTTCTCACCAAAATACACCATTATTGGGGAATTCGCATAAAGCAAAGAGAGGGTATTCTTAGGGCTGAACCACGATAAGAAAAATGGTGGAAATTTGCTCTCCCAGAATCTGGCCAATGGGTGCATCAAATATGAAGTAAGGGAGTGGTATGTAGGAAAGTCCCCTTATGAAATAGTGACCTTTCAACTTTTTGTTCAGATGGAATTGCCCAGTGGTACATACAGTCCCTAAATCACTGATACGATTTTTTGAAATGCATGTATTTATTTCTAGTATGTGACCCATACAGAATTTGTAGTAGTTAATGAAAACATAATGTAAACATTTGATTTAAAATATGCAATAAAACACTCATTTTCCTATGCCCTTTCTTGATGCAGCCGCCTAGTTTTTTCTGCTCTGTTTTGAGGATGTTGTATTAATTCAGAGAAGAAATTCAAGCAGATTGATCTAGTTTTTCTTTTCTAAGTGTGCTTGTTCTCTGTAATAGGGGCCCTGTTAGGGTGCAACTGCTCTGTGTTACAGAGAGAAATCTCAAGCCTTCTTCTCTTCAGACTTGCCAGACTATAAATACAGCTGATGTTAATGTCAGCTAATTTTTTTATTATATATATTATTATTATTATTTTAACCTCACCAGAGAGAGAGAGACAAAGGGAAAGTAAGAAAACAAGCCACCAGGTTTGGGACTCGATCCATTGTCAGCCATGTGGGAATCCAGTACCTTAACCAACATGCCACCTGTCAGCCCCTCAGCTAATAATGTTTAAACAAAAAAGTAGATGACATTCTGGAAAGCTGAAAATAAGGTTTCAGGATTACTCCTGAATGAAACAATTTAGTATACCCTGGGGAAATTAGTAAGATACCTGGGGAATTAAATTATTTTAATCCCATCATTGGATGGATTGATTTCATCACCTTTTCTTTTTTTTTTTTTTTTA